TTCCGTGAAACCCAGATATCATTACTTTACATTCGTATCTCGGCGGTAGTCTCGTCACGTGATACACATCGAGAAAAATCTGATAGGGAAGGAATAAAATAGAATAAGATGCAGTGCATCGCGTAGATATCCCGCGGCTAGGTTCCAGGCTGCAGGAAGTAGTGACGTAAGGAGTTAGCATATACTCTACAAATGTATACGATGTTGGATATAAGAAAGAAAATAAGAACAAACTACGAGCGTTTCGTACTAAGGATCGGATTATGGAAGAGTTTTCTGGAACTCGGAACTTCAAAACTCCTAAAAAAGATACAAGTTTCGCGCTAACTTCTCATACGAATTTAGAACGCTGCTCCGCGAGCGTGCATACCGATTACTTCTGTAGAGAGACCAGTGTGTAGCGTCATCATCTAGCGTTCTATTAATCTGGATCTATAACTACGGCGTGCGGTTTGTGTATCACAGTAATGAAATGAAACACCGAGTTTCCCGTTCTCCATCATAGTGTGACAACTTTACGTTTCTATTACGATATTAATGGGATGTTGTTTCTGTCAGAAACGAGAAACTATGAGACAGGATGCCATAAGTAAATATAATCCTCGCTCATGACTCAACGCATGTGAAATTTCGTTTTGGATGCAAGAGAAGACATATCTCAGATGTATGATGAGCTCCTGGCGCGGCATATATGATTGATATTTCAAGTGTCACATTTGCTACGTGCGTATCTTCTATTACATGCTTAGAGTTTTATATTTATCGTAATGAAAGTTCTATATTTTCACTGTAAATGACGTGACACGCAATCTACATAACGCATTAGAAATACGAATGTGAAATCAACAATTGCACTTCAATAAAAATTTCAATAGAAAAAATTAAATATTAAAAAAAGAGCTGAGTTTTTTCAAGAAGCATACAGAAGTACGAAAGATAAATTATTTTCTCTGCAAAATTTTCGTATTTTCTATTCGCTTCAGTGCTGTATTATTCAGATTATCAATAATTAATTTTAAGTAAGACTTCTAAAGATTTTTATGGACGCCTGTTTTGATGCAAATAGTTTATGTATTTCTACGCTATGTGTTTATTTAATACTATCTAGTAATATTTAATGAAGGGAATCTCCAAAGTAGCCGGGTGAAAGATTAAAATCATTATTCGTAATATATAGAAGCGAGTTGTGAAGGGTAGTTTGTCGCCTATATTGGCACTCCCTATAAGTACATTTAATCCTATTATCGACTAACGATTGTGGACGGTCATAGTTGTCTTAACTTGTCTAATTATCAGTGCCCAACTTGTTGCTCGCAAACTGAGCAGAACAATAGTTGCTCAACAAGGTGCGGCTAGTTATCAAAGTTTACTAGGATTCAACCTTTGAGGGTCCAATTAGTCGGCAAGCCATGCAAATTTCAGATACTTACTTATCGTAGATAGCTCCAAGAGTCCGATAATAACGAATTAGATATGAAACAAGCAAATATTTGCAGATACGTATAAATATATAATGCGCCTGATATCCCCCGTTGAATGCTCGAGGCTACCTAATACTACGATTTACAAATATTTAGAAAAATATACTCTTGTAAAGTAAGAGAAACCAAACATATACGAAGGTTTATAGTAAAGAAAATAATTTATTTTTATAGCAATGCAATTTTCCAAAATAAATATTAATATTGTATTATATTATTATAATTTACAATATAAGCAACTTAAAATTCTTACTAGATTGTGTTTGTGCAAAAGATTTCTGATGATTTGTTCTTAATTTTCTTTAATTTTTTAATCTGTATGTAATTTTAAATATTATTTATATATTATTTAAATATAGAAATAGTATATCGAATATACATGCAGCTTCGGCGCATTGGTCCAAAGACAAAGTATATCTGCAAGTGTCATAAAAAAAATCTGCTATCACACGAAGAATGCTTTAACGATATCTACCTGTCACTTAATCGCATCGTCCGTAACTTACGACTACGATGTACGATCTCCGGCCATCGCAAAGTCGTATTGCATGCCCGGGGGCTATCGTCGTTACAGAAGGCGATCTGCAATTACTGGATATTAGCTACCTCCATTGGCAATCTGTGGCGATCGGAATGCTTTCATTAATACCGCAGAGAATGTAGTTATTTAGGGTGGCACGTACGGCAGGCTTACACAGAGACGTGATTTACGAGCCGTCTCGCCGACTCTAATATAGAAATAGATGAACTGATCGCGGCTTTCTCGACATAACGCCCCGCAGGTTGCGGAAAGGGGGTGGGAGCGAGGGAAAGGCAAGGGAAAAGAAAAAAAAAGAACGCTCTGGTTTTATCTCGCCTCGGGTGTAAAGCAATCTCGCAACGGAGCTTCGTCCGGCTCTCAGCTATGCGCGGTGCCGATAGCGATATCTCCTTGCTTGATTCATTAGCGTGGACAGTAATTAAGGTTGTTATGGGCGTGCAAGAAGCGCAAAAGTCCCCGTGCGAAGTATAACCGATCGTTTTGCCCGATCGCGCAATCGATAACGCCGGGATCGGTTGAGTGGACGGACGGAATGGATGTCCGATCGCGATTTATGGCACGCCACAATACATATACGCGCAGCTCCGGCGCGTATTCTTCGCGCGATAAATTTCGCTTAAAGAAATACAGCGCGGACTTGGCGGGACTCGATTATATTATTAAAATTACGGCAATGAATCGCGTGTCAATTCCGTACAATTGAGATAACGGTGAGATAACGGCGTCTCTGTAACGACTTAATCAATCAAAAATTTGCAGCGGCTGCTTTCATATACATTGATTCTTGTACAAATAACTAATATGTAATATCGCCGACGTATTCTTGTAATAACAGAGCGCGACGTTTACAACATTGTAGATAAATTGTTGGGCAATGTATCGTAAAATATCATAAAATATTTCTTTTTTCGTGTGAAACGAGATGTAACGAAGCGAGTAATATAAGATACGTAACTGAATTCATAGCCGGGCTGAATTACCCAGAAACCGTGATTGCGCGACGCGCGACCCTAAAAGTTAAATTAGATCTCACCCCCGAGGGATGAAGAATTTGCTCACGTGGACCACGAATTGCGAGCAAAGAAACTCGTCGAGTTATTACCGCCATAATCTAGCGTACTAAAAGTTCCCGCTGTCCCTTGGGGTACGAAATAAAGCTTACGAATAGACACGTACATGCCATAACGTTCCGAGTGATCCTCGAAGGGTGCATTTACATACATTATTAAGTGCTTTTTATCTACTTTCTTCGAAGAATCGTCAGTCTGTCTCTCGCGCGATCGTCTCGTTACGATACAGCTGTTGACCGAACAACTTCAAATGTCGATGACGTATTTCCGGCACGACACAGAGAATGTATCGGTGAAATTAAACGGAAACGATTTCGTACGTCAATTAATGTATGCGATAATGAGATCGCGAGATTCTATCATTAATTGTCTCCAATTAAGAGTACGGGGTGCGGCTCAACGATGATATTTAATTGCACGTAGGGACAGTGGGCAAGCTCTTTGCGGACCGATGCGTAAAATGTACATTTATAATTTAATTTAATCCACGGGAAATGATGAGGAATAATGATCGTTGCGTCGGGTTGTCCGAGTATTGCGAGAGACGGCTGCGTTTCCCGGAGTTTCCACAATTACGAGCAACGGCGAGCGAACAGACGGATAGTTAAATAAGAGGATCTTTCCCCAAGTAATGGCAGATAACCAAAGCGAAGTTTGCGAGCGCGGAGTCGTCTGTCATCCGGAACTTCTTCCCGCTAATGGCACCGCGTGGCAGCGTTAAAGCGGGAGTTGGTGTCGCGTACTTTATGAAACGACATCGCGACGCTTAACGTCAACGGAGCTCGTTAATCGGAGCAAGAAACCGTCTAATTATTCCGTTCGAGCAGGGTATTTTCCGAAACAGAGACCGCAAGAAGGATCATCGTGCTTTCGCTTTGCATTGTTTAAAATCAAACGGCGTGAATGTTCTTTGTCGATTACTTCAGTAAGTATGCGAGATTGTCACATGCGCAGTTGCAAAGCTCGTTAGATGTATCATTAAATTCTACTGCAGAAGGTTCGTTATATTTATTCAATAAATTAAAAAGAAATTTCAATAAAACCGAAAAAAATTATCCTCCAGGCTTTAATATACTCTTCTTCTCATCCAGAAAGAAATTCCTTTTTCGAGAAACTTCGGTTCTCTGACTTTATTTAATACAAAGGGCTCGATGGAATAAGGAAACTTTTACACGAGCCTAACATAAATCGTTATAAGAAGCTATGAAGAGAATGACTGCTTGTTTATGAAATAAGGGTTTAAAATTAAAATTTTATTAACGAATTATACATTAATTACATATTATACTATTAATATCTTTCTTCGGCTTGGTTTAAAATCTTAGCAGTCAATTAAGCATTGTTTAGTTGAGTGCGCTAGGATTTTGAGATTACGCTGTACATGTTATCTTAATGAAGCACTTACCGTTTACCGGTGCAACTGCCCCTTTGTCTCTTGGAGGGATAATCAAGCGGATTATGGATTCGGAAGTTTGCCAGGCGTGATTTTCACGAAATGAAATATGCGCAGATACGAGATGATTCTCGTTTCAATCTCTTCCATCGTTTATTTCTATTCACAGTCAATAAATTAACACTTATCGTTGAAAATCATTACGAGAACCGAAAGACGATGAGAATTATGTGTGATTCGTGTGTGACCATCTATAAACCCCGCAATTAATCAATAAATACAAAATCAGCTTATAAAAAGGTACGACGATGCGCGCTAATTCGCGGCCGCGATTCGCCGTTTTCTAAATCTGTTGTGTTCTTTTATCATTTTATTATTTTATGTACATTATATTCGTTAATCACGCGAGAAGAATGGACTAGACCGCTACGTAAACGCTTAATTTCATTCGACCCTAAGCGCCGCACTTCGTGGCGTTCACGATCGACGAATAAAATTTATCTAAGCGATGGTCGTACAAGGCGACGCTATAGGCCTTTCTTTCGTCAACGACTCGCTTTTCCCTTAAGGGTACGCTTAAATTATCTATTTCGATTACTGCGCCTTGGGTCTACGATTAGAATGAATTTTACTTTACATCAAATGCTGCATATTTTTTGTTCTTCCGAGCTAAATAAAATCACTATCGTGTCTATTCGTACTCTCATAAACTCGTTACTAAATTTAACATCGCGTCGTCCTATATTCTCGCCTATGCTCTCCCGCTTTTTCTTTCTCTCTCTTTCTCTTTCACGCATTCTCTCTCTCTCTCTCTCTCTCTCACTCACACACACATGTACGCACACATATATTCAATTTTCAATCATCCCTCTCATCCTTTCTTGCTATTTCAGCCCTCCCTTTAATAACAGCCACTTCACTCATTCTCTGCACATGTTGGTACTCTCGATGGAACGGATAAACTAGCAGACATTACCGAAATCGACGTACCGTTTATCGGATACGTTCACTCGGCGCCTCTCTTTTGGATCATCGGATCATCGCACAAACTCGATAAAAAAAGTGCCCGCTGATGGAGCTTACGCGCGGGCAGGACGCGACGTAAATCTCAATATTGCGAAATTCGATCTCGGCACGAAAATCGCACGCTGCGGCCGCGATCGAGCGTTAATCGCATTAATCAATCTCGACGTCGATGGAAGCAACTTGCGACTACTCGTTCGGTCTAATCACAGCCGATTTCCGGGCCGATCGGGAATTCATTGTCCCTCCTTCAATGCGCTCCTCGATCGTAGCGCAATGACGTTGCAGAAGAAGCACGCTCTACGTTACATGGATGGCAATATTTGTGTAAAAAGTGTATGACGTGTGTCGTGCGAAACGTTTTCAACGTTAAGCTGTTATCGCGATAACATATTTTAAATACGATAAATATTGAGATCACGGCAGTTTGCATAATCTCCAATTCATCGATCATATTAATTCATATGGAAGTCTCGCTGTTTGGCTTATATCCAATACGTAGCAATTCATGCTGTATAGTTTATTCATTGCCTCTATGAAGATATATCTCTAACACTTGCCGATTGTTATTCCTTGATCATCCGAAGTGATTAAAACCGTGAACAGCAATTGATTTTTTCGTATACTTTTTCAATTAACTTGTCAATATATGACTTTAGCGTTTATCGTAATATGGCATCGCGATAACTCTTTAATATTACTGATCGCTTCCGCATGCTATCCGCCGATATTGTGTCGATCGTTCGTTCGCGGCGGGCGCGCGTTTCCTCTCACGTACTTAATTTTTTTTCTTCTATTTTAATTAATAATGCGCTTCGTCGAGTCGTCGCTGCGTCTCGTAACAGCTAAAATTATTACTTACGATTTATTATTATCCATCGGGCTTCTCGGCTCCTCCCGCACCTGTTCACGCAGCCCTGATTCTCTGATTGCGCTCCCGCGTCTCATAAATTCATCTATGATTTTACACTATACAAGAGATGTACATAAGATCCAACGGTACGATATAATGTGTCGCGTATGTATATTATAGTTTTAAGTTTTGGCAAACGGGCAAGATCAATACAAAACATCGTTATGTCCTACGCGTTAATATTTCCTATGTACATACAAAATCTTTGTAACTTTCAACGTTTTCCTCCCGTGGTCAATATACACACATGTACAGGTTTATCCATCGTGTCGAAGTACTGACGAGTCGCATCGACGATGGGGGATTGTCGGTCGTTAATAGTAAGCAAAGTCCGAGTGACAAATGCGGCGTAATGCGGCGCCGTTCCATGGAGACTTCGGGTTCTCGCTACTCTATACAAAATTATATGCGAACGATGGAAAGTAAGTAGGAAATATTTCCTCGCGAGTCGATGTTAGAGTATCGGGCTTTATTGAAAAGTCGCGTAAATCAGCTAAGTAAGTGAAAAACGCTCGTAAGGCATCCTGTGATAATCCGCATTTACTCTATTACTGTTTAAGATGGATCCTCACGAGTCTGCGCGCCGTATTAAGCGAAAAATTGTCTCGAGTGTCACGGGACGATTCATAACTGTCTCGTTTGCGCACGTTTAACGCACGTCTTCTAGCGACGAGATCGAATGAACGTACAAAAAGCGAGTTCCAAAATATACGACATAAGAGATCGCCGTTCAACGAGAGACGAGAACTCGATAACGCTGGCAGTTTTTGACGAACGCTCGTCGGACGAGCTATATAGTGTTTGCAGTGATTAATCGCGAGGTCGTCCCAGACAAAGATGAAACCGACAGATAATATCGAACGCGAAATCAAAACGGACGCATAACGTTATATTGGATCTTCATTCATGTTTTCCCTTTTCTTTCTTTTTTATTTATTGTACGTAAATGGATCGCGACGACGATTCGCGCAACGCAAATGACGGTCGCTTGTTTCTTCTTTTTTTTTCTATCTATTCAATTTTTAATCGATCGTTATATTGCTACCGTATCACATAGTATTCGCTTATTATTAATTACACGGCTATATGTTAGGCGCGATGTGACTTGGCGGTTTCGAGATGCCGATAGCTATTCGAAATGCATCTCGTTCGAATCGAACGCGGACGTAAACGCGAAGAAACTTCGCCGATGCTCCGGGGAGCTCTTGTTACAATTGTTGAATTTCGTTCGTTTCGCGGAATTCTTGTCTCACTTCTTTCCCATTGCATATCCAAAGATATGAAGTAACAAAATGTCCCCCTCGACGTTACTATCGGAGAGATATTACATCGAGAGAGATATATTAGAACTTCCATTCGCGCTCGTGACAAGAATTACCAAACAAAGTGACATCCTTCGTACTTTGCCAACAACAATAATAGGAAATAAGATATTGCTTTGATATAATATTTTAAATCGAGATGCAATTGAGCGCATGATAATCGTCGCAACGAGCGGACATAGCGACAACTATCAATTATTATATGTCGTTAGCAATTTCGTTAGAATTGCTTTAACTCTGAGTCGTCCAAAATGGAAGAAATATCTTATCGCCAAGTACGCTCGTCAGGATCGCTAATTCGAGAACTACATCTCTCGTTGGATATAAAATGTCTGAGACATTTTGATCCCAATATTACTCAAATATCTCGTGGACGAATCGTAGGCACCATAGCCTGAAGACGATCGTGATCGTGTAACCCTTTGAATCCGAACTAAGGCCGCTCCATTGCTCGATTTTTTTATTTTCGTATTTCTTACCTTCGAGCTAAAGTCGCGCCACGACTCGTCGGCCTACAAATTTGTTGTGGCTTTCCTCATTGGTAACTCCCGTCGTTGTTTTGACTCTTACCGCCCTGGGAAGTTGGTGACGCTCTGCTGAAGCTACCGAAGGTCTTGGTCGGCGAATCCGACGATGCGGTGCTGGCGGTAGCGAGTACTTTGTCCCTAGGCGGAGGTGCCGAGCTAATGCTGGACGAGCTGACACCGGAGTCGCTGGATTTCTCACTAAGACAACCGCGTTGGCTGAGGCCGGTGACATTGGCGGTGCTCTCAAGGCCGAGATCACTGGTACCACCGACTATGTATTTGACCATACCGCCCAGTTTCTGGCTGCTTTCGCAAGCGTCCTCAATTACCACCGTTTCGCCAAAGTTGCCTCTCTTCGCGATGTACCGCACGTTGCCACCTCGCAGTAGAGGCGACTTGTCGAACTGACTCTCTTTCTGACCCGCTACCGAGCTGGAGATCGGTATGTTAGGATGAAAGTCGTCCTTCGCATCAGTTAAACTGCCGTCCGTACCGCCAGCACTGCTGGTGTTTTTCGTAATTGCTGTCGCGTTGTCTAGATTGTTCTCTCTCGACAGCTTTGACGACGTTGTGGTTGATTCCGGGCTAATGGTTCGTCGACTGGTTGTATTTTTGTGTGCGTCGTAACAGCCAGAGTCCCGTGGAAACTGACGTCGATTAAACGGGGAACAGTGGCCGGACGTCTGGCCGGAGGTTAAGACCAGACGACTGACCTCATCACCTTCCGAACTCGAGGCCAGGTCACCTTCGCTGCCCGCTATAAGAATAGACAAAAAAAAGATAGCGCGCGCATGTGTAAAAATTCGTGTTTTAATCACCAGTTTATTTATAAGTTATTAGATACTAATAATTTTAAAATGCATCCTTGAAATATGTGCAAATATACATTTTTTATGTGTGTGCAATGCATTTCTATAGCAATTTAATTCTTTGAAAATATTTTCATTTTTACCAAGTAAATGAAACCTGATGGAAAAGTTAAATAAAGTTAAATAAAGTAGAATAAAAATAAAATTAAACCAAAACAAAATACAAAGTTGAATTTTTTGGCCATTTATTTATCATTGAATTTTACGAAGTTAAATATTTATCTAAAAATTTTTTATTTTCATATTCCACATTTGTAGAGATTTTAATGATTTAAAGTGACATTTTGAATCTCCTTTGTATTAAATAATGAAAGAACTGTCCCCTTTATATCCAATTACAATATAATTTTAAAGATGTATAACATGTATTAATTGTAACATGATATATGCAGTAAGACAAATAGCAACGATGATGAAAAGGGCTTTAGGGAGACGTGAATAATACATATGTAGCTGGTATACGTTCGGTATACTCACACTGAAGATCGTGTAGGAGTTGCACGGCGGTGAGTATCTTGGCACGATGCTCGGGTTGATGTATACGCAAATAGTCCAGATCCGCTGCCTCTAACTCCCTGAAGAGCTCCAGATCCTCGTATCCGTTCAGCACAAAAACTGGAATATGTTCCTGCGCGAGCGTAACATTCATCTTTGAGACGCTACCCCCATCTTAACAGAGCTTTGAATAGTTTACTTGTACAATGAAATGCGCTTGCAGTTTAATACACTTGGAAGAAGCTTACGGAATTCTTATAAAATTATCTTAAGAAGCTTACAGAGAATTCCCTTCTCAGCAACATTTCTCACACTTTGATTGGAAAACGTTGAATTAAATGTTATATCTTCACGATTTGAATATAGATAACACATTGCAAGTGATATAATCTCAAATGATAAAAAATAAATTTTGGAAAGAAACAGAAAGTACTTTTTTTATATTCCATAATGTAATTTTTTTCTATTTAGTTGACCTTTATAATTCATGCGGGAGAAAAATTCATTTTTTTTTGCAAAATAAATGTCTCAATATGATAATAATAATAATAATAATAGTTATGTGATGAAACTATGCCTAAAAAGCAAGATAAAAGATCTCCATGAGTTTGATTTAGTACGGAAGCATTATAATTATGAGAGAGTCGCTTCAAAGAATCTTAATTATCTCGTGATCTTTAAGATATTCAATAACCAAACATTTCAAACGTTACTGTACAGTTACGCGAGTTTTAATGACGGTCTCAAGCAATCAGCCGAGAAGAGGATACTTTGGATCTCCATCCGTTGATATAATTCGCACAGAGGGCCATTCGGACTTCAATTAAGTGTATACCAATACCCTGAAAAGGCGCACACAAATCTGTGACGCTCATTAAACGATCGATCATAGCGGCTTAATTAAGTGGCACGGCTTCCTGAATCGCGCGGAAACGACGTTTCCGGTACAGCGACTCCTCGCCCTATCATTTCGTCCCATCCCTTCCTGTCGCTTCCGTACCTTCGACTCTGGAGACTCTGCGAGACACGCCTCTTGACAGTGAATCACAATCGAGTCTAATCTGTCGTCGAATCGCGAGACTGTACATAATATCCGAGAAAGCTACCGAATGCTTTTAGTAAATTTTATGATGAATTTAGAGTCAATTCTTTCTTCTAAAAATAATTGTAAGCAGGTAATTATAAACGTTTCTAACGTGCAACACAAAATATTAACATAATTAATATTAATAAGTCTGAAATATATAATAACTTAAAATTTATGTATTTAAGTTTTAAATATAGTTAAGATAAAAATTAAATATTAAATTAAAAATAAAATTTGGTTATCTATTTAGATTTTCTTGGAATTTGCTAACCCCACAACTACTGATACTTTCATATAAAAACAATTGCCAATTTTGATAATTCGATTTTTAAGATTTGCGATTGGAAAGACATACGATACAGTTTCAAGATATTTTGTATACAGCGAACGTTGGAGATAAATCAGAAAGAAAATGAATGACCAAAATGAGGTAAAGGAAATACCAGAACGTACAGCAGGTGAGGATAAAAATGAGCAAGGCGCAGACAAGAAGCGAGAGTTGGAGAGAGAAAAGGAGATGAATAGGAAGGGAGGAATCGAACAAAAAGGACTCGTTATGGTCTGCGGGACCTGCAAGTTGTATAAGGTATAAACTGGAAAGCTGATGCGATGGTGCGAGAGGACACGAGAGAAGGGATGACGGGGAACGGGGAATGGGAGTGCGATAGGGACATCGAATAAAGAAATATATAAAAGCAAATTCTCTACTTTGCATTCGACGCCATGCAAATGCGAATCAGTTTGTTCGAGCCGCGGCGAGATATTACTCTCCCTCCCCTTCTCTCTCTCTCTCTCTCTCTCTACCTGAAGATTCATTCTCTGCAAGAGCTCTTGAACGGAACCCGGCTTCTGCCTGTATCTCTGACCCCACTTGCCCCGCTCCGGTTCCCCCCGCCTGGGCACCCTGTCGTTCAGTATCTCGACGTTTATGAACTTGAAGTGGCCTATCCTGTTGTGTACAACGCCCTTCCATAGTCCGCTCTTGTTCATTTGTACCACATCGATTACGTCCCCCTTCTGAAACAATGTTGCCACGCGAGCATTCGTAAGGGAAACCCTTTCATTACGATACGTTCGATCAAACATTATCAAGTTTCCCCTTTAGATGGTTTGAAAAACAGAAGCCAATACGCGGAAAAAATGACATACGAATTCCAATATAATTTCCACACTGAAAAAAGAATTTGATAATAGCTACCAAATATTGAATGAAATAATTCTAAATGTTCGGTTAATATAATAAAAAAAAATAATTCTACTTTCTCATAAATATTTAGCAAGTAATATCAAACATTAGAATCAACCATTTGGTAATACTTACTAAATATTTAGAAAAATAAAATTATTTTTTATTATATTAACCGAATGTTTAATTGGAATTATTTCATTCAACATTTGATAACTACTACTATAGATTCTTTTTTTAGTGCACTCAAATTAATTAAAAACGACGAATAGTAGCAAACATTGTCAATTATAAAAGTTGTACTTGCAAATAATTACGACAAATTTACCGTAACGCTGTTAACGTTTACTGAGTTTCACATAGAATTTCGATTATCGTGAAGGTGGACCTTGAACTTTAACGCGTCCTTGTCGTAAGGACTGGGCGTGTAATCCACCAGTGCCCTCGCTCGACACAGGACGGGGCCGATGGACGTCGGGCTGACGGCATCTCTGTCCTCGCAGGATATCGAGCTGTGATTGCTTCCTGCGCGTACCAGAGCCTGCGTGCTTGAACCGCTACCGCTCGGCAGGCTCTCGACGCTGCTCGCGCTGCATGGGAAGGCCTCCGAGGAGGCGCGATCCTGGCGCAACCTCGAGATCTTTCTCTGCACGTCGTGCCTTAAATTCCTCGCACGGCCTGCGATACCCGCCCTGGCATCGCCCTCAAGCAGGGCGCTGGCCTCCGACTGGAAATTTTAATTGAGTTTTGGAGAACATCGGGGTCGCACCGTGCCCGGAATACGTGCTCCATCGAATGCATCGGGAAAGGAACGGCGACGCGCCAGTAGCGCGTTAATTAAATCGAGGAGCTATGTGAAATAGGGATCTCCATTGGCCGAGCCGTTTTCAATAATGCATTTATGGCGCTTTGGAATGTGACACGATAGAGAGTTACGCGCAGAGCCTGACATGAAAAGTATACCATCTTGATTAGATCTTGGAGAGTCGATTTGTTTACATTTAAATAATCATAGATTATTGCACATCATCACGAAATAATTGCAATTTGCCATCAACTATTAGTTACTTAGCCTATTGCATATTTATCTCTATTACGATTAATTACTTATGCTTTTTTCAAAACATTATCACATAACTCCTCGAGTTTTCAGAAATAAAAACAACTTGAGAGACATTTGTTTTATTGTGTTGAACGCAATTGGAAAGTTTGTGTTAATTTAGCACAAGACGATCATGTTAGAAAGTAACACATACATTATGTGAAAAAATTAATACAAAAATTAATACAAAAATGTAACAATGACATATTATTCTAATATATTAAATTAACACGTAATTTATTCGTTTATCTTAGAATTTACGTTTTAAAATATATAATTTTTATATTATTTGTTCACTTACTCATAAACTATGTTATTTTGAAGAAATGTTGAATATTCATTTGTTGAATATAAAAATGTAAATAATATAATCATATTATGTTAAATTAACAGTCATTAAAGATTCGATATAAAATTTTAACAAAGATGTGAATGGACTGTTTTTTAAACACAAATACGAAACATTTTTTATTGTGCATGCATTTCCAACGAAAACGATCATGAGATATTTCGATAGAAGCAAATTATTCTCATTTCCAAACCTATACTCTGACATCAGTTTGTCAATGGAGTAGATAAATGTGTTAGGGTTATTAATTCATTTTGTTTGGATTTTATTTTATAAAATGAGATACTACACACGAAAGCATACTACAGCATTTGAAGCAGAATAGGTAAATGATGCGAGCGTGAAAACCTCAGAGGAAATCAATGTTCGAAATAAGAATAAAGACAGAATACGCTAATTTCGTTTGTGAAAATTGCCATGCAATCCAATCTGTTAGAATAACATACTCATTTATATATATATATATGTGTGTGTATATGTGTATAATTGTATATTTACTTCCATTCCCATTGACTTTCAATCATAATAAAACGACATCACAGTAATGTTATGCCGTTATCCTGTTATCAACGGAAGATTATATATTACCGTTGTTGTCATAAACAACGCGTTTATCAAGTGATAGACATACTCATTATGAGATGTATACCCAAAGCCTGTATACTTATGACAGACAATCACGACGTAACTGTGATTTTATGTAAATATAAATTAATTGGATAAGATCAATAAACTCCGTTTTGTGTTATGGAAATTAAATACTATGAATACTCGCGATTGAATTGAATATTATGAGTTTCACGATAAACGTCTAAATGTAAACAATTTCGTATAATGATCGACTTTCTAATATATCTTTCATATATAATATTAATCGACTTTCTAATCTATCTTTTCTTTTTTAATCTTCCATGTGAAAATCATTTCGTTAAATTACATAGCTATTAATAACAGCAGAGAAATTTAATTTTTTTAATGTATAGACCGCGTTTTAAAGGATATGCATGTTTGTATCAAGATTTACTATTTATTTATTTCTCGAAATTCAAGATAGAAAATATTACATAATACTTTCAGTTCATTTAGAGTGAGTACTCGGAAGCGCAGAAAGATTCCTGCCTTTCTCTGATGGAACAAACAACAGAGGAGGAATGCAATACTTTGTGATTTTACTAATCACCCGTCAGTGACAGTTATGTGCACAGGCATGTTTTTCTTAGTTATCGTACTGTTTGGACGCGCTGCCTGTATCTATTCGTATAATAGTGACTGAGGACGCCATGCATCTGAGTATACGTAGAAATGGCAAAGAAGGAAAAATGCGGAAAAAATAAAAATAGAATCTGCACGTTTTCTCGAAGGACTACTCTCATACGTTACGTACTGTATGCACGGCGGCCGAGTGTTGACTTTCGAGTTCTTCTTGATCTTCGTAATCGCTACTCTGGCTCGGTGACAGTCCCTCCTCGCCGCTACTCCGACTCTAAAATGTTGACACCTCGTAGAAACAGTTCTAATAGCGAAATACGGAAGGAGGAAGCGGGCACACTATGATGGATCTAATAGCGCGCGGATGCTGTTAGACAGGGCGACGGTTACGGGCATATCGCTAAGTAATATCGGACACGCGAGACCGCCACTGGTGGTCCAGAGCAGGTATTAGAGGCACAGAGGCATGGAGATACAGTACCCAATATCAAAAATATTATACCGTACGTGCAAGCGCAAGGGCTACCTCGAAAGTTTTTTTTTTTAATAACATAGAATTAGTACGTAAATCTTGAAATACGTTATCTTGAAATAACTGCAATCGATATACGAAAATGTAGAATATTTTAGTTAAAAAAAATTTTTGAGTATTATATACACACATATATATATATATATGTATATAGGGGAGAGTTGCTGAATGCGTACTGGTCGACTAAATCGTACCTCATCAATATTTTATATTATTAGTTAATATAAGCAATATTTAGTAACAATAATACAAAATATATGAGAAATGAGTAATATAGACAAAAATATAATAATCTACATCTTGTTTTATGAATGTTAGCGACGTTTAAAAAATCAGGTACATCTGATATTAATTTTTAATCAACTTATGTAGCTGATAACAACGCGATCATCCAATTTTATTATAAATTTTTGTATTTTTATAAAAGAAGATTTATTGTAGAGTATTTTACATTCACTGTATATATATATTTGCAATCATTGTTAAATCGATATTTTTACAAAATTCATCAAGTTTCTTAAATCGTATCATCAAAAGATAAGGCTGACAATAATAAAACTAATAATTTATATCAATGTAAATATCAAGTGCAAAAATATATTTAAGCAAATTTTTTTGGTGTCATTTGTTTTTTTATTATTGTTATTTAATAATTATAAAATATCTGATTTTCTTCAATAAATTATTAAAATTAGGTATTAATTAATTATTAGGTATTAATTAATGATTTCTTTTATTAATCTTATATTTTTAATTGTTTTCATTCATAAATTCAATACTTTCAAAGGAAATACGATAAAAAATATCTATAAGTACGATTTAAGCGACCGGTTGCTTAAATCGTATCTTTTGTAGCATGTTACAAAAAGATTTATAACAAATTAATTTGTTATTGGTGGAAAGTTAAACATATAATAATAAGCGTCCAAAATCTCAAGCTACAATTTCTAATGTTCATTTGCGTACAAAACAGTGCCAAATGGAAAATATAATAAAAAATAAGTTAAGTGGTACGCATTCGACAACTTTCCCCTATGTATTTTATTTTTCAAAATGGATTTCTCTAAATACTTTGGAGTAAAATCTCACTCTAAAAAATCAAAATTGAATCAGTTTTGAAAGAGTGCAGAGTGGTTCAATTTTCAATTTTTAAAAGTGAGATTTCAATCTTCAGAGTGACATTCACTAAAAGTTTTAGAGAGAGATTGTGTTCATTATTATCCATTTTCAATATCACAGCTTCATAAATAATTGCAATGATAAAATAATTTATGAGATGTGCAAGATTAAGCTGTTTTCAAATATTTTGAAAGTATACATAGCCTATTAATTGTTTCCAACGTTAAAATATTTAATGTTTCTTTCGAGGTAACTTTCGCGATAAACTAAATAATAGCAGCAGATATACAAATGAATTAGGGGAGTTAAGTATATAAGTGTTACACACGACGTGTTAACCACGTTATACATTCGATATATTAATAGAGAGGGGGATTGCGTGTTACATGAGAAAATAAAGAGCGTATGCAGGCTACGCCGGTTTAGATGGGTTAGTGATATACTTAATATTGGCGTGTCAGTGTGTGAGTATTATTTATACACATAGAGGCTGTCAGTGCTGTGTAGGCGTCAGAGCAGGAAATGAGGCACCTTATTCTGGGGTGCTCTGATCAGATTATGAGGCTCTCCAGTTTTTGCTTAAACGTCAAGCACGATTATTATAATGTTGCACGCCCAACTATCACGATTGAACTACAATAAAGATATAAATCAAATATATACATATAGATATGTGTATAAAGCGCAAACCATAGACCATGCTTCGTCAAAAATTTTAAAAGTGTCATTTTTATCAACCAATCCTTTATAATCTCTAGTTTTAAATATCTTAATGATTATATTATAAACTTTATTTCTTAAATTCATTACTTCTTATATTCTATATATTTTTATAATAATATATGTTATAGTATTTTATCTTTGTTATGATAAACATTGATCGACGAAAAAGAATGAGAAAGAATTATTAAGAAAGCATACATTTCCCGGCAGTTCAAACAAGACGCTGATAAATGCTGAAGCTCTACCACGGTAGTGGTATCCGATCGTTATCAAGTTTGCGAAGTCGACGAAGAATAACGTTTGTTCGGCGGACGAGGAAACTGGTAGATTCGACGTGATTTCAACGCAATCGCTGCATCGTCGGGCCATCGCGCCCGATTCCTCGCAAACAATCCGTAAATCTCGTGGATTCTCATTGTCCGTCCGACGGATGGATCGAGTGGTTCTCGGCGCTTGGATTCACAGAGGCAACACACCGGAAACTGACCGGAGAACAGCAGCATCTCACTCAAACGTAGCAACGTACATATGGCAATCGACCACGATGCAATTTCTCCGCGAGGGTATCTCGCGATCTGACATGCACGAGATAAGCCAAACGAAAAATCCATATTCACGAGTACGAAAATCCTCACATTTATTGCATCTAATTAGTCGAGATACTCCTCCGTCTCCTGTTTTCGAAGACGCTCGGCATAGCTAAATGTAATAGATCGAGCACATACGTCACGCGCCAGACAAGCGTACACAGGTGGGTTAGAGAGAATAGTATGGAAACTGGCCTGGATGTGCCTGCGGGAAAGGTGATAGGGAGAGAGCTACGTCATCCATAGATTCGGCAGATACGAACATATCTGGGAACCGGGCGGCGTTGCGCGTTGCTTTGCGGTGACGTTGCGTCGGTGACGGTGTTGGTAACGGTCGTGCTAGCGGCGGGGTGACGCTGATTGGGTCGGGGTGAGACCGAGTGGTGATGTTCGTGATGATGGCGATGGTTGTGACGGTGCTCGTGGTGATGCTCCGGCCGATCGGGGTGGCGACCGCCCACCGAAGGCTGATCGCTCCTACTCGTGTCCACCGACACAGTCGACAGTCTCGAGCTCACACTCTGCAGCCCCAAAATTAAATAAATCACGCCGTGACGTACGCCCGCGAGAAGGTAGGCGCCAACCTTTCCCTCCCAATCCCCGTTGTATGCCCATGGGATCCGAGCCAGTTGGATCTGCGCTTCTCACAGGGGAGATCGAATTTGGGCGAGGGCTAAGAGAACCCAACAGTACCCGCGTCCTCTGCGTGGTGCGCTTATCGCAACGCAGTGACTTAATGTAATTTCGCTATGGAGCGACGACTACGATCTAACGGGATTTATCCAGACTGGATTCGGTCCTTCAATATTACGCCTCGTTGCAATAATATTACCCGCGACTTAACGAGGTTCGTGACTTACTTGAGGCACGGTGATTTGGTAATTTCAAGCGACGGAATCCTGAAGGGTAGCACATGTCGTTTCGTTCACTTTGTCAAGGCTAGTTAACCATGCTAGTTAACCAAGACTAGCTACCCCTGAACGTAAATAAGGCATTACAAAAACCGTAGCACAAAAATATCATCGAGCTTTATTTTTAAGGGGTACGAGTTGGCTATACTTATTCACCATATATAAACATTCCGCCGCTTATACTAACAATAAGATATTAAAGCATTTATAAGACGGTGTAACTTGATTGTACTAGCAACAAAGGAATTTCCGCATGAACGCGACAATGTTTGTAGTGCAACGTTTACGAAGTGACGTGAAGTTGCCCGGATTGTCGCTCGATGACGATGGACTTACCTGTACGTCGCTACTCGCGTAATCTCCGCTCTCACGAGAAGCTCTCGAATGCGTTAAGGGTATGATCGTCGGTGGATTATTGTGACCCTGAGGAACAATGAGACCTCGCATCGTTGACGTTGCACCTTTCCTCGAGCGGTCGCGTGGCAAACTAATATCGCCAGCTGTTCGAAGAGATATCACACCCTCGCCTCGATTCTCCGGCCTCATATTCAGCGTGAAACATACCCTGATATTCGATTGTGTTATCAATTGTAATGAAAAGATCTATATTTTTTCAAAATTCATAAAACTGTACTACTATACTTATAAAGGAACTGTTGGAACTGTCCCTCACCGATTCTGATAAGCTTTGGATATGTTGTAGAGTACAGCATCAAAAAGTATTAAATTCATATTTTTTTATCTGCTTATCTCAAGGTTTAGAGAATTATTTCGAAATTATTTCTGGGGGTGAAGATAAATTAAAAATTTTTCAAAACAAAGTGAATACACTGTTATTAAGAGTATAAAATACTATAAAACTTTTGTATAAAGCATTTTTTATATACCTCATAGTTTCGACGATATTCACGGAAAATGAAAAAAATCCGGTATTTTTAAAGTTGTTTTAATTCCTAAATTATGAAAATAAAAAAACATAGATCTAATATTTTTTTATGTTCGACATATACCCAAAGCTTATCAAAATGTCCATTGCAATAATTCAGATTTATTCTTATTTTAAATTGCAGAAACATTACCTTCCGTTTTGGATAGTTGCAGTAGGTATTGGACCGCCACTGGCTCCCATAAGAAAGTCTTCGGGATCTGATTCATAAGGTGGTTCGTCGTACCAATGACCGCCTGGTCCAGGACCTAAACTACCTGCACCTCCGCATCGCGCGTCTTCATCGTACATGTACGTATCATCTGCAAATTATTGTTTTGTTTTTTGATTTGCGAATATTGACTTGCGAATTAATAATTCCAATTTCCGATTAAAAATTAAAATAAAGTAAACATAATTAATTTTTGTATGTGAGGCATCCTATCAAATTTTGCAAAAACTTAGAAGAAAAATAATTTCAATAACTTTAAATTGAATACCGTTTGAAAAAAAGAAGATAATATTTTTAATCGAAAATATTAAAAGAATATAAAAAATAAACAAAAATTGCAAGTGTGTTGATTTAAAAACTCTCAAAAAATGAATGTTCGTGTATCATATTCTAATAATATATTCAAATCTTAAAAAATATGCTAACAATTATAGGATTTAAAATATTAATCATGAATGTACTGAGTAAAATTACATTTAATATCAACTTTAAGAATTTGGATCCACTTCTAGTATAGAAACCTGGGACTGACAAGAGTATATTATGTAAAGGAAGAGAGAGGGAGAGAGAGTGTGAGAGAGAGGTAGCAAAGAGGGTTTGGAAAATGAAGATGGCAGGTATTAACAATAACGAGATTAGTTCCCGTGCGCGGAGGATTTTGCGACGTGCTGTAGCAGCTTTGTGCATAGGAAATAAAACAACCACATTAATGATAAATCGACAATAAAGAGCATATTCATAGAATATATAAAATAACATTAGACCCATGTTGTAATTATACTATCTTTAATAATTTTCAATGTATAAAATATTAAAATATATAAATTCACATGTTATTAGTTTTATAAGTACTTCTTCTTTGTTTCTTAATTTGTTACTTAATTTTAAAAGTTTGAGAATTTCTCCGATATTTTTAAATATAAATAAATGTCAAATTACGTGATATAAGCTTCCACTAAAATTACATTTAACTATTTCCTCTTAGCATATATTCTCAAAAAATAAAAGTAATCAAAGTAATAAAATTAAAAATGATAGCTAACATAATACGATTAATATGTCAATAAGTTTTATCGTTTAAAAATAATGATGATAAATAAAATATTAATTGTACTTATCCTCTGTGTATTTAAATAATTGTTAAATATAATTGAATAATTTTTCAATTTACATTTTAATAATTTCTTTAAATAATATAAATCATATGACCTTACAATCTAGGTTTTTTCAAAGAGCGCCTCTTATTATATTTCAACTTGTATTATTATTTATATTCTATATCGTCTTATATTTATCGTCTTTAACATTCAATGTTAATTTGACAAACCCTATATCAAAAGCTTTTTCCTTCCTCTTTTTCAGTGCAAACGCCTTTTTGCGAGGCATAGGAATCATTTTGGTACGTCTCCATTTTATCGTAAAAAGCCGCTGAGGCTACGAGGAGCGAGATTTCGCGAAAGACTACGAGGGGAGCCATCAGGAAACGAATGCTCAAAATGAGTCTCGCGAGAGTGAGCAGCTACACATACGAGGTGTCAGGCATTTGGGAGTCGATTCTCATGCCGGCTGTGGCACGTGCACGTTTTGTTCAACGTGCACACACACGTTTACATTCCCGCACTCACGTACGCGCTTATACATACACGGACAGGGAGCAAGAGAGGGCGGGTTATAGGTCGTGGAGAGACGAGGCGACAACTAGCGGGAGGTTAGTCCTTGATGTACTTACCCCCAGGGAGCTGACCCCGTCCGTCTCGTCCTAGCTGCATTAAACCCTGCCGGATATCCCTCAGTATCTGAAACAGCACAATGTCGACGTCGTGAGTAAACGTTTATCCGGCATTGTGATTAAAACTGCAATTAGCCGCGTTTGCTCTAGTGTTTGCATGCCGCAGAATTGCTTTCGTTGATACCAACGTAAGTATCGATTAATTTAATCTTAAGTATCGATGATGAACGCTTGAAACTCTCATTATTTATTTAATGAGAGATAAAAGGAAGATGTAATATTTTCGAGTTGTCATAAAAAATGCGCTCCTATATATTTTGGAAAATTATATTGTACGAAGATATATGATTAAGTGAAGATGATGTTCCATATAATTGATGCAGAGGAGAACTCATTATCTGGGATCTCTCATTACATAGGAGTACTTGCAAATTGATTTTATGTCTTCTTAAATTAAGTTTACAAAGTTGTGCAATGATTAGGTTTAATCCTTGAAATCCCTGATGTAACTTTAAAATCTATAAAATGTTATTTAAATACATCAGAATCTTTCATTAAACTTTGTAGCATGTCCAGGTATTGCTTCTACGCAAATTGCTTTTCTACGTAAGTAGTTAATTGAAGTAATGGCGCGCCTAAGGACTGAATTTCATGCCGGGAGATGCCCTGCCACCGGTAGCGTAATCACGTGTAATCTAAATGGTATTACCGAGAACTTACATGCGCAGGTTCTTTCACGGCGGATAATCGCCGTTATCCGGCCAGTGTTGGACCACCATCGATGTTTTTCAGATCTTCGCAACCATAACGGCGAGGCAAAGAGATGGAAGAAAGGATAAAGAGAACTGTGTACATGTATCGCGGTTTTTTTACGGTCGATGACCGCGAGTCCTCGGTAATCGGTGGAACAAAACGAAAAGCGATTATCGATCAGGATGCTGCAGACGTAATGTCCTGATGAGGGACAGCCCGGTCGAAGGTTGTTTCCTGGGCGAGAAAAAAGACCGGAATAGCAGTCAGGGCGGAAGAAGATGAGGAAGAGGAGGAGATTGTTGAGGTGGTCGCCTGCGGCCGGTCTTTTCCTACCGAACCGAAGTTGAGGCTAAAGCGAGGGATAAGAAGCGGGAGCAAAGAGAAGAGAGAACAGGAAGGACAACAGGGAGGAGGGTCAGGAAGAAAAAGAAGGAGATTCTCCAAGGAGCAATAAACCCGCGGAGGTGACACTAAAACTTTTACACGGATAGCGACCTTTATTTCCATATTGCTCAAAAGGAACATGGCTGCTTTATTTCTTCCAACGGATCCTTCTTCGGTATCTCCTTTTTTTTTCCCCCCCCCCTCCCTCCCATCCCCGAATCGTCGCACCCCCGGATTCGCACGGCCCGTGATACCGCCGGTTTTCGGCAATTTCCAACGGCCCTTTCTCGCGCCCCTCCTCTTTTAAAACTTCGCAGAATTTCACAAAGCTTACGTCCACGTAATTAAAACTCCCGGCTCGTGCACCCGGTTACGATGTTCGCGCCGTCTACTTTTACGCGCGCGATCTTTCTCTCTAATGGGCAGTTTTTGGCAAGTAACGATGATAGGAGAAAGAAAGAGAGAGAGAGAGAGAGAGTCTCTTCTTGTATGGAGGGAGATTCTCGAGGATACGCGACACACGTAACGAGCTGCAAGCTGAGCTGCCACGCTGCGGCATGGCGTTACTCTCGATGTTGTTACGTGCGAAGCGTGTGTAATGCGTCGCTCGAGTGTTCTCTCACGTGAAGCAACGCGTTATACGCGTGCACCCGCTTATGCATGAGCCGCACGGTACACATGATTGCATCAAAACGGTCCCGTTTTACGTTGAAACTGCCACTTTTCCTTCATTATTGGGTATCTTTTGAATTTGCAAAATATTCAGCGTTCGCCGTGTTATTTTCTACGCAGAGAAAATTTTTCGGTCAATTTCAAATATATTTTATTTTAATAAAAATTGATTGAGCACAACATTAAATATCTTGATACAATTTAAAATGCCATTTATTGCCATTAAGATAAATTTTATTTTAAATTTAAAAAAGTCCTATACATATATATCCTGTTCATATATCCTTGCATTTACATGGAAAAAATAATTTTATTGAAAGATGTAAAATTTTGCTGGCTACAGATCTGAAATTAATTTTTTTTACCATCAAAATAATTATTGGTTGGAAATGAAAAAATGATGAGCACTGCAAACAAATTTTGGTATTCTAATATACCTAACTAGTTTGAGTTTTCAACAAAATCATTTTGATGAATTTTGACCAAAAACGTTATTTTTAGAATCGTATACAACCAAATTGTTCTTTCCGTTATATTTACATATATCCGTTATATTTCTATAAATTGCAATAAAAATATTTTATTTACCGACACTGACGCCTTAAATCTTACTTACAATGAGATTCTCAATTAGTTAATATAAACTGTTTTTAAGATTGACCGTTCTTTTCTCTCTTATTGTTTATTACTTGTGTAATCATTAAATCGACAGGACGTATTCACTTGTGCTTTACATTTGAAAATCTTTAATTTTAACTTGTGACGAATTTCGCATTTTTATTTCGATAGAGATGTACAAGATTGTTAGTGATTTGTAAGGAGATGTGAGGTGAGCATTACTTAATTACTGTTGTCCAATCTATATCTCAAAAAAATCTTAATACAATTCCAGCTGGAAGTTTATCGCAACTCAGCTATGTAACTGTGTTGGACAACTGTTCGAGTTCTCATATCCCCACGGTCGCATACAGCAAACTATCGGAACTTGCGGCGATGTCGAAGTTTAGTTTTAAGTCGTAACAAATGTTTTTTAATTATATATTTTAATTTTGTGAATTTAAGCTGAAGATGACTCAAACTTAAAGTTGAAACGTTCTTTCTTAAAGACTTATTAAATGTTTTCTGCATTACTTACATCTTGACTTCTATGGCCTTGGTTTTACTTCTTATTTGTATTGTAAAAATATTTTATGTTTGTATAGTTCTCAAAAATTTAATTCTTTTATCGGAAAATATTGCAGAATCACGATAATACGGAATATGGCCAACAAATAATAGCACAAATAGTAGATAAGATAAACTGAGAAGAAAAGACTTCGATTTTTATACGTGCGGCAAACTTTTTAATGGAGTTAATTTATTAATAAAGCCGCGCGGTCGCGACCTTATCCCGAGTACCTCTTTCAAGTAGTTAATTTAGTCTGTCCCGTAGTCTCTCTTTTATATATATATTTCTTTATACCGCAGATAAATTAACGACGATAAATTTTATACCAAGGATTATCATTAAAAATTGACAAGGAAAGGGTATTGCTCATCAAAGTTAATCTTACAAGACGTCAGATCGGAAGGACGGAACAATAAAAAGGGCTGTTTATTAAAATTTTCATGGAGCCTTCGTTAAGAATTAGCTCATCGATTTTATCGAGAAGTTATGTCGTTCTGATAATTCTTGCACAGTCCTTGAATTCTTACAACTTTCTACATTTCCTTACTAAAATTTTGTAATTTAGCATTTCATCAAATTTTATCGTTTAATCAGTGCTGTGCACTGATTAAATATCTCCTCTTTTCTCCTAATTAATCATTCTGTGTTTTATCAATTATACGGAAAGATTTGCTAAAAATTTAGCTAGATACAGATCTGAAAATAACTTTATTGGATTTTTAAAATAATTATGTAGGACGTCTAAGCTAAAATATTAAAACTTTTTGCGGCATTGCTCATGTTTGAGAGTTCTACATAATTATTGTGATAGTCCAATAAAATTATTTTTAGGTCTGTATCTTGTTAAAGTTTAGATACTTCAGCAAAATCATTCTTTCCTTGTACAAATTAAATATTATCAGCAGTAAACAATGTAAGCTGTGTTTTATATATATACGCTAAAATAATGTCGCAGTAACACGCAATGTGCCAATGGTTTATAGTCCGTGATCGTACATACAAGACAAGAAGAAGAGAGGCAGAAATCTCATGCTCTGGACAGGCATACGACGCAAAACCACACGGGGGAAAATAAGAAAAGCACAAAAAACCCGCACGCGTATATCGCGAGAGATCGTGCATAAGGAATTCACGACGCAACGTCGCGGTACGCATTGACGATTATGATGATATCACGCTGATCTGGCTACTTTGCATAATAAGAGGTATCAAGTTGGCAAAAGACAGTCTGAAGAAGAGGGTTAGTAGGGAGGATATGACGAGAAACGAGCTCGTACGCACGTGGAACGGTGGAAGACACAGGGGGAGTTAAAGTAAAGGGAGGCATTGGTGATAGCACATACATGCAAATTTCGTCCTACGAGAATTCCGATGCGGGAGGCAGGATTGTAGTCGGATAAGGCTACCGGCTCCCAGGGCCAATATCAGTTGAACGATGGGAAGAGGGTTGCCGATGATCCAGGCAATGTACGGGGAGGGAATCGCGGGAAGAAAATAAACGGGACACGCGGGTTGAGTTTAATCATGATAAGACATCCCACCGTCCTTATCGCGATCGGTTACGCATGATAACGAAAATTATCGCTCTCGCGTGAAACGTGGGACGTGAGTGTGTTCGCACACAATGCGGTGTGAGATATATCTTTAACGGAAGCGTCGTTTGACAATTTAAAGGTGCGGTCCACTTGGCGCTACAAATGTTTCGAAGCGTTTGATTGATCTATCAAAAGAAAGAATTTTACTAATTGACCAATCAAAAAATGCTTTGAAGCATTGGTAGTGTCAAGTGGACCGTACCCTAAAATGAACGGAAACAAAACTCCCTCTCTATTTAGGTTACATTCAGAAACTTCACTTGGGTTCACCTGTGTGTCGCATTTTAGTCTTGCTGTTTACCGAATGTTAAACAAGGATAGAATGAAGTGAAGTTTCTGAACGCCTTACCAGGTGGGATCGAATGGATTTAATCGCGAACGCGAATGCAATCACTGGCGATTTTCGCGGCATCAGTTCTTTCGTCTGCGCGAGTTCGTTTACAAGTAAGTTTGTTAGCGAAAACCGAAGACAAAAATTTCATTATAGACCAGGACGATAGAGACTGACTTATATAAGACGTACACTCACCTCTTCCGCTCTTTCTTTCGCAGCGCTTCTTGAACTTTCAACTGAAAAATGCAAGGGGATGGAAGCGTTCTTAAGTTTCGTTTAAAAAGGTTTTATCGGTGGTAAAGAGACTTCTTGCGAGAGTAACTTGGAGTATTTCAAGTGAATTCAAGAATCACGATTGTATGAGAGCAAGCGTAGTTTTTATTCAAAAAGTCTAACGGAAATTTATTATACATTATCCAGCTTCACTTTTCAATAAAAAAATATTTTAAGAGTTATCTGATATCAAAAAGAATAACAGGCAAGTGAAATGCATAAAATATTAACTTGTAACTTAAAATACATTTAGTGGTTTTAAGTATCATTTTACAAAATATATAAATGAAATATAGTTTACCCTGTGAATGGTTTCTTCGAAACTATTTGGTTGGCCGCCGTTCATCTGTAGGTATCTCAGTCGATCGTAATCTCGAGGATCCACCATCGAACGAAGAATTGTGTGTCCCATGTCAGGTCCGAGACCCAAACCGCTTTGCAAAACACTATCAGGCGTGTCTACCTGTAAAAAAATTAAGTACAATTGAGATTATTAAAGTAAATATAATTATTATAACAACGCAATTATTATTAATTAACTAAATATTGTCAGAGTACATTTACATTAGCAATGGTTATATTTTTCTGTTTAATCTTACAAAAGAAAGATAGAAGATAGAAATGCAAGACACACCGCGAAGTCATGTTTTCGAAAAAAATATAGAATTTAAAACAGTATAAAGTTTATAAATAAAAAGTATTGCACATTAACCATTTTTATATTAATTTGAGAAAAATTAAAGTCATGTTCCAATGTATTCCTTTCTCTTTCTATCACAGGGTGTCCGAAAAATCGAGGTCAATACTTCGGAAAGTGATTCGGGATACTTCCCGAAGTATTGACTTCGATTTTCCGCATACCCTGTATATTCCCTTATCTTTTATCCGTTTATCTGTCTTCTCCTCTACGATGTAACATCACGTAAATTACTTTCACATGAAGAATTCAATTTATGCAAACGTCGTAAAATAATGAGAATCATTGTAGTCATAGTCAAGACATTGATTACAAATGATCGTTTGTAGAGATCCTCGCAATAGTTTATTGCAATCGTCGTAGAAATGCGCCTTCGCGAGGATACATTTTTGTACGGAGGTGTAGCATTCCCTTTCATAGAGCGTCTCCTATTCTATAGAATGTCAAGCTCCTTAAAAGCGGCTGCCATTTATTCTCGCGACGTTCCTCTGCCGCTAATGGGGCTCGTGCATAAGATATTCAGGACGCGGCGAGGGTCGCCATGGAGATCGTCAATTTCTCGTTCTTCAGTCCCGCGGGAAGAGAGTGAAAGAAGAGAAGGAACAGAGGAAGTACACGATGTCGTGTATTTTGGAAAAACGTAACGCGAGATTCTAATCGTGCGGGCGAAACGGGCGACGTTACGAGCGCTGCGTTAGTCGAATGATTAAGTAGAAGCCCGAGAGTTTCGTTCCAGCGGTAACTTGAAGACAAAGCCCTCAAAGTATTTACAAAGGACCACCTCTTCTACGAGATTAGCCTGAGTAGAGAAATTCATCTCCCTTTCCTTACTATTTTAAGCGCTGTCTTCACTGTCGTCATCGTCGTCGTTGTCGTCGTCGTCATTTTCGTTATTGCTGTAGAGTATAGCGTCGTCTTACACGAGCCATCACTGTAGAGAGAAACGGTTCACGATGAAAATTATCGCGTTGATATTCTGTAAATGCGGTCTACAGAAATTATTTCATACAGTGTCTTCAAGACATTGTTACTAAAGTGGTATAGAGATAAGAGAAGATTTGTTTATAATATCGATTGTACCGTTGCATTTTATATGGATATTTCCGGTAAAGAAATGTGCTTTCAAAATTGAAATTGCGGAGCGTCATGATGTAATGTATAAAGAATTAAATATTATTAAGTGCTGAAAGAATATTACTTTGTGTTATCATATAATAGAATGTTGATACTGAAATCCTTTCTTCAAAGACAACAATTTTTCATCATCTTTTATATTAAAATTCTTTGTTTATGTATTTCAAACAAGGGGTTCAGGTTCTCCTATTCTTTCTCATATTACATTTCTTAATTCTTCTCTCTTAAAGGATTTAAGTAAAGAACTACTCTCATAAAATTCATCAATTTGACAAAGTCTTAAAATGTCGAATTTCTGAATAAGTTACGTAAAAAGGTATTAATATGCTAATATAGACGCTCATAAACTAGAACGCTTTACGTATCTCGTTAAAAATTAATGAGTTATCGATTTTTATCGATGATTAATAAAAAGTCGTGATTAGAACATCGTGAATTATGAGACGCTGAGAAAAAGATATAGACCTAGTTTTACTTGTAACAAAACTACGTTAAATATTATATTTCAACTAGGCAGTGCTCTCTCCATCTATCCTATAACTATTAATTAAAGAGCCAGTTATTCGATAATACATCTATTATAATTAGAATAATTTTAATTATATTCTTTTGACATTTTTTTCAATGTAAGGAGTTAATACGAGAAGTTAACCTTTTTCCTCTAAGCTTTATCCTTTTATCCTCTTTAGCTCAAGTTTATATCCTTCATCGAATGAAGAAGCGTCCCGTTGTGAACAAATATCGACCCCCATCCCGCGGTAATCTCGATGCCTAAGGAAGAGAAAAAGCCGTGTTCTGTAGACGCAATGCCGGGACGATTACCTTGCGGTATGCGATTTAATTAAACCACGTGGTATTTATGTTAAACGGATTAGAACCGTTTGTTTGCGCTTGCAGACTGAGCTTCCTCCACGGTAGCGGCCGTAGCATCCACTAAGCCTGAATAATACCTAGAGACAAGGCTGAGAATTTACGTCGCTTCTCTGTTTACCGGCGCGATGTTGACTTTTTCTTCTGGAGCGGACGGCGATGCGGAATAACCAAAGAAATTCCAAAACCCTGGAGATGCGTTTTAAACGCATCTCTTATTCGCGAATCTCTCACGGAGTCTCTATGTAATCTTTCGATACGACGATGTTATCGCGGATTATTTTCCCTTATGGTATGCCATGGAAGAAGAATAATACAAAGAGATACATATATATCGTTATGTCTCTTTGTATTACAGTTATCTTCTCAGACAACACGCATGTCTTGATTTCGGACTTTTTGTCTGGGTTAGAATTATACCGCAATATGATGTCATTATGCTATCCACACCGCATAATCTATTACGAAAATTTTATTGATATTTTATTTTTATTTCCATGTAATTATTTTTACTCGATAATAACAAGATATCTTTGTTTATTTATACAATCTACATAGAAAGAATAAATTTGTTGAAGTACTTATCTAAAAATGTAGGTATATACAGTAGATTTAATAATAATTTTCTTGGATCATCCAAAGAAATTATTTAACTAATTATTGAATTTACGAAACGAGTAAAGTAATGAGTTACTTTTCAATGAATAATGGATAATAGTGAAGAATTATTTTTTAAAAATGAAAGTTTCAATCCTGGCGTTACCGTCATGAAAAATTGTAACTTCAGTGTTAAATCATTATTACAAAAGAGTAATATTAACGGCGTTACAAGTAACGTGTTACTTCCAATTCCTACAAGTAATTATGTTATGCAAATATTATATTTAAGAAAATTCCTACAAGTAATTATGTTATGCAAATATTATATTTAAGGAAATTCAGACATGATAAACAATGCTGCAAGTTTTGACATTCCAACAACCAGTTTGAGCGTTCTACATAATAGTTCGACCAAACTATTTTCAGATCTGCATTTAGTAGCTCAAATTCTAGATATTTTAGGAAAACCATTCTATCCGTGTAGAACCCAAATATTTCAGGATAATCTCGAGGATAATTTAAAAGAACGTTGAACATCGCAAAAATCGTGTGAACTCTCGACTAAACGGATATTCAGCAATCTGACGAATTCCCACGCTAATCACGCGCAACGAATACTCCATATGATAACGAGGAGATCCTATTGCACTTACATTCTTGCCTCATCGCGAGCCAAGGAGCACGCGGCGGTTTACAGATACAAATAGCAGTCGCTCCGAGAAACAATTTTGCCCATTCATCTACCGCGGTAAGATCGACATGGTAATACGTCTCGTCTGGAAATAAATGTTGCGATTGCGAGTACGCGAACGTGCGTCTTGGTACGCTGCTGATTTCCATCAGTTAGCGTCCAACCTGCGCGATTCTGTCGGTCTTTCCGGTCCCCTTCCAGGACGACCAGTGTAGGGCGCGAAAGATTAAGCGATCGTTCTCCTTCGCTGTTACGTAAATCACAATAAACCCATCGCAGTCCTCGCGGTCCGGGATAAATGGAGGAACGTACGGCGTACTTGTGTACGGGAAGATCCGTTGGCTCGAGCGAAGGATGGTGTCCGAGGGGATGGATCGCTCGCGCGCGATCGAACGCGAAAGGAGCGAAGAGCAGTTAGAAGGAACGAGAGAAGGAAAGCGGGAAGAGGTAACGCGGGGGTGGAGAAGGGTCAGAGCGTGTATATTTTTAAGGCTAAGCAGTTAACTGGCCACCTGGGGCGGACTCTCCTTACAGGATCGGTTTATAGCCACTCTCAGTCAGTCGCGCTGTGCCGCCTACCGGTTAATTTATCCCAGCATTATTATTGCCCCAACGCGGCCCTGGAGAAAGAAAAAGAGAGAGGGAGAGCCGCCGCACCTCACCGCATCGAGACAGATACGCCGCTACGTAGCCTTGTGACAAACGCAATTAAGCATCTCACGACTTCCTGCACCGAGAGAAACCTGTAATCTGGTCATCTAGCCAACTCCGTAGACTCCTACCGGGGAACGCCCTGCGGCACGGGATCGCCGTAACAGGCCGCCGGCAGTTGCATGGAATGCACCTTCGAGACCTTCGTTCGGCGCAACGACAGTGGTCGTTCCCGCCGGATCGAACTGGCGGGACTCATCCGGATCGCCTCCCCGTGCGACCCTTATCAAGATCCGAACCGATTTACGAACACGGTCGAGTAACGGCACTGGCGACGTTAAACTGCTGCGATTTGTTTCTCGGTAATAACGCCGTTCCGCGCGAAACACGATAATTGCGTTTCAGGTGTGAGAGAAATAGACAACTGGGTACCTACGGCGGTATTTACGTGCATGAGGATGCAAATTATCAATTTTTCTTAAATTGCAAAAAAGGTATATGTATAATATATTATGAGACAGACGCGCGGTTAAATTTATTTCCTCGACAAAATGCGCTGTTAACTAGCGTTTGTGTAATGTAACTTAATAAAACTTTAAGGAGACTTCTCTGTTAAAAAAGACTTTGTAAAAAGAATTGAGTTTTTCGCCAAAAGTTCGCAGACAAAGTATGATGTACGTTGGAGATCTATTAATATAGTAATTATAAGTTATAACATGCGAAACGCGATTATACAGCTTGCGATTTCGTGGACGGGGTAATATGCAATTTGCTGATCTGTCTGCTTGCCGGTGCTTGCCGGATCCTCTCGGATCGCCGG